CATTGCAGTTCCGATATCGCATGAGTGTGCAATATGTTAATGAGCCTCTAAGCAATCACTGAATGTTTTATTGGGTGCTGACTCACACATGTTCTATGGGTGTTTGGATGGATATAGGTAATGTGGAAGCCTCAGAGTCTAATCATATCTGAGAACTAAAAAATACAGTAATTTTTAGTTCATTTTTATTCAATAAAAAACATGTTTGTACTTAATTTTTGAGATGCCCAAGGGAAAATTATCCCATTGTCTCAAAAATTTCATTTGTATGTAGGTAGAGCCAGTTGTCGCATTGGTGAGGGCTTCAGGATCTGGACTGAAGGCCTAACGTGTCAGATGAGCCACTAACATAATTAGGAACTGACAGCAGACTCAATCAGCCATGTATTGATTTACAATGAGTGGGACCAATTTTGCAAAGGAAAACATTACTCTAGGCTCTCTGGAAGTCCTAGATATGTCACTAGCAGGGTTTCAATTCAAAAGTTCCCTACATTTAAGCAAACTTCCAAAAAGTCAGAAAATGTGAATTTATCAGTGTTTCCATCAAGTACTGAATTCCAAAGAGGATGTGACTCATTTGACTCACTTTGTGTGGCGTATACAATGGACGGTTCTGAACCTCTATTATTTTTGACAGCCCTCTGTCAGCCATACATGGTTGTAGCCCTAATGCTCTGTTTGCATGTTGGCACTGAAAAACCACCATTTTGCACCTCATAGCAGAACTGGCCTATGGTAAACAGTGCACAGCAACATGAAGCCATGTAATTGTGGCCATGGTGAAAAGCATTGTTGCCGTTTCTGCCTGTGTGCAGGGCGATGGCTACTATTGTTACCTTGTTTTAAACACTGGCTAATGTTTCTAAAAATGTGTTTATGTTGAAGTTCAGGAGCTGATGTGCATGAATGGGTAGGCCTGGACATCAACTACAACCATCCAGTATCCATGTTTGTGGAAAAAAAAATAAAAAATCAGCATTCAGTTTATTCTACTGAGGTTGTTGACAGGAAAAAGTTTGTGAAAACTGAATTTGTGACAGAATCTGTCGCTTATCGGCGTGGCCAGTGGAACATGTAGTCACAGGGCAATGTAGACACCCGGTGGAACAGGCAGCGGCCCATGTAATGAAGTTGTTGTCCCCCTTCACTTAACCAAAATTTGTTTGCATCAGTGTTTCCACATTTCTTTTTTATCGATAAAACAAGTTTTCATCTCATCCAAGTGTAAAAAATTTCACAATATTAATTTTATTTTAATTTCTTTCAAAATTTTTATAAAAGAGATGGAAGGAAAAGTCACAACTGACTGCAAGTACACACAACAGCCAAAACCAGTGATTCACAAACCAGTCCTCAGGGTCCCCCAGACAGAGAGGTGGGTGGATCGATACTGAAATATCAATATTTTCAATCCTGACATTTCTTTTTGGGAATCGATCCTCGCATGACAGTATGGACACTGGTGTTTTCTTTAACCAGTAAAGTGAATCTGCATCAATATTTTTAAATTGATGGTGAAAAGGTACAAAAATTGATGATAGGAAATGAAAATGTGGGATAGGAACTACTTTTCCTTCTGCCCTCTGCTTCTTAGACACAAACAGCCATGAGGCACAATAAATACTCTATAACAGCAGATCATTTGGAGTTATTTCCCTTAACAGACAGTTCATGTGGCAGTTTATTAAAGCAAAAATATGGACTGTCTGGGTGACTCCAGACAGGTTTGAGAACCACTGGCTTAACCAATGGATTTCAATGGGTTTCTGAAATGGAAAACAGGGGCAGCAGCTCTGTGCCATGACTCTTTACTGAAAGAGTCACTGTAAATCTTCTCCAATATAAAATGTAATGTTAATAGGCTTCATTCACCAACTGACACCAATGTTTTCTTATTTGGGATTTGTTCTTAGGTAAGAGCTGTTATCAGTTCTGCGGTTTAAGAACACGTCATGAATCTGATCTAAGCTTCTTCTTAAAACCTTTCTCAAGAAAAGACTTAGGAAGATGTTGGTGAATAAGGCCCAATATATGTTACAGGCTTTAAATTAAATATAGAATGTTTTTTATAAGCTTCAAATGACATGAAAAATGTTAATATGAAGCGTAGCACTGACACACTATTAAATCCCATAGGGGTGCGCGCAGAAATTAGCATAATCGTGGAGGTAGTTTTCCCTTGTTTTTTGGTTGGATTTTGACATTTATGGCCCACCCTGAAAGCCTAGCGCTAACTGTCACAGTTCACCGCTTAACCCCCTTAGGTCGACTATGTTGTATGCAACATCAAAGGACGTCATACATAAAAGAATAAATCTCGGGAATGCTGCACGCTGGAGACTTTTATTTTTTTTCCCCAGAAGGGTAGCGCTGTGCTGTTCCAATGAGGGCTCTGGCGCGATCATATGCTTTTCAGAAGCTTTGTAATCCAGACTTGAACTGCACTGTCTTTTTGGAGACTATGTAAAATAAATCAAATATCAAAACCAAAAATCAAATCCAACACTGAATCACTTCTGTGAGTTGTTGTTAGCATGGCTATTAGCGGTCAACTGAGGCCTTGGGTTGAGTCTGTCAGCCAATCAGAGGCTGTGTTCCTGACTTGTTGATGGAACAACGCTTCCGGGCAAAATAACAGCATGTGTAGCATGAAACATTCACAAGATATTTATTCTTTAATGTACAACGTCCTTTGATGTCACATATGATATTGTTGACCTTAGAGGGTTAATATAGGCATTTACATGATCCAACAAACAATTATCATTTTGGTCAAAAAATGACACAGGCCATCATTAAGAACACTACATTAGGGATTCACTAATATGTTTTCAGTATATTGGAAGGTATATCACAATCGTAGTATGTAGGCATATAATTGCAGTGTGGCATTTTGTCCATGTTGTGCAGATGTAACCAAAATACTGAAGTATCACCTTAAAGTCAGTGTGAATTGGAAATCAGAATGCATATTTCTTCCTTAACGTGATGGATTTCTGATTGAAACGGGATATTTGGGCAGGACTCTGAAGCTCAGCCAAATCCAGCTGTTTTGCAGAAAAGTCAATGGAAAAAATAAAAAAAACAACCAGGTTTTTTGAAAAGTACTACAATATTTTGATGACAAAGGACAAATTGTGGTTAGCAGGCCAGCCTTTTAGCATCCATGCTGCTCTCGCTTTTCTTACACTTTCACAGTCAAAGCAAGAGAAAAAGGCTTCAGGAAAAAAGAAGTCATTGTCAAAATAAACCCGTGTACGGGTGTAATTACCTAGCGTGTGTGGGCAGGACATTGACTGTGTTATTGTGTCTGTGCAGGTCTCATCATCAGCTGACCAGCCTCTCAGCCTTGCAGAGGGGCAGGAAACTTTAGAAAACAGCACAAATACTGCCAGATATTTGAAATACCTTACTGGTGTTAACATGAATATGAATATGGGTTGCCAGCGTAAAAGAACTAAAATAACTCTAAAAAATAATAATTATTAAAAAATAATTATTTTACAACCAGTCCAGAAACCAAAAGAGAGAGTAAAGTGAGGAGAAGAAAGGAGGTTGCCTTCCAGCATACATGTATGTGCAGTCTAGAATCTTGGTGACGATGAATGTTCTCAACGATTGGTCAGGATGGTGGAAGGAAGAGAAAACATGCCTACTTATTGGGAAGTGTAACTTTCCCACCAGCTGGAATGCAGTGACGAAGCATTGCTCTTATGAAGCATCGAATGCTAAAGCTCCCCCTTGTGGAAAATGTTTAGCCTGCTAAATGTGAGTGAGTGAGTGAGTGAGTGAGCAAGGTTAGCATGGCCATTAGCCGTCAACTGAGGTTAGGGTTAGACTCTGCCCCCTTGTGGAAAATGTTTAGCCTGCTAAACATGAGTGAGTGAGTGAGGTACAAGCCATTTCCCTGAGGTGCTTTGCCTCTAAAAAAAGAAAAAAGGTTTCTTTGGCGCCTATTTTGCCTGACAAGGCCCTGCATGTACGTCTCCACCATGAATGTGTTTAAAAAGTACATTTTGAGCTAAAATCTTCTCGGAACCATCGTAAAACAATGTTTTAGGCTTTAAGCAATATATCTGTAACCATTTAATATAAAAACTTTCTGTGAGGGAGATTTTAGAAGCATTAAATGCTTAAGACTGCAAGTTTCTTTCACCAACAATGTGAAGTTTCTCTAGAATGGCACATTTTACATCCAACTCTGAATGACTTTGTTTACACCTTAATGATTTAACTGCGCAAAAAAAATCTCTTGTAATTCCCGTTTTACATAATAAGAATGATATGCGAGTAGTTTATCTGGGACTCATTTTTTTGGGTACACTGTCAGAAATAAAGGTACCATGCAGGTACACTTTACATTCAGGTACAAACAATGTAAATGTTCCCTCAAAGGTACAACAGTGGTTTTAAGGTCCAATTGTGCACCTTAAATAAGTTTTTCCAGGTAGAAACCCTGGAGACGAGACGGGGTGTGTGGAGTCAAAACAACTTAGAAAATATAATTTCAATGAGATGTACCCTTGAGGGTAACACCCCAGTGGCAGTAGAAGAACTGCCCCAGTGACAGTTTAGTAAATTTTTTCTGGGAGTGTTTCTCAATATTAATGACGAAATCTAAACATCGCAATTCAGCTTTTTCCACAGTATTGTGCAACCCTGATACGCACATATACGCCACACAAAATAGTGTTTAACACACCATTTAATGAAGTCATTTTTCTGTTCATGCGCATCTACACATGCACACACACACACACACACACACACACATGCACCTGCCTGCTTGACTCCAGGCGTTCAGGCTGGGGAGCGAGAGAAAAGCGAGAGAGACAGACAGAGGTGTACAGGAAACAATGTGTGCACATGTGAGAAGAAGAGATCGAGAGACCTCTAAGTGGATGTTATAACCTGCTGCTGCTTGGGAAATAAAAGCCCCGTTGGAGGTGGGTGAGGTCTTCTCCACTGAGGGGGAAATAATCCCGGCCCGCTCCCCTCATGTAATATTAAATAACTCTCCTTCTTTTCTCCTTTCCCTTCCTTCCCCTCCACTCCTCCTCTCCCCTCCCTCTTCTCCTCTCTATCTGGTCCTTGAGAGGAGTTCTCCACTGTGCGCCGGTCTGCCGTGCTTAGAGAGCGCTGCTAGTCATCACTCGGTCTGTCCCTCTCGCTCGCTTGCTCTCTCTCTATCCTAACTCTCTTTCTTGCTCTCTCTATCTTTCTCTCTCTCTCCCTGTGTCTCTTGCTCTTGTTCTCTCTCAGTCAATGTGAGTGTGAGAGGACTTTGGGCAGTGGCGACGTCAGAGGCAGAGAGCAGCAGAAGAGAGATGTGGAGCTGAGTTGACAAGCAAAGCAGCCGCTCACTTCTCTCCCTCTCTCTCTCCCTCTCTCTCTCTCTCTCTCTCTGCATGTCTCCAGCTTACACTTGCACTCCAACTCTGGAGCCTAAAGCATCCTCGCAGCTGACGCACTGGACCAGGCGCCTCTTCACTTTGTACGAGGCTTTTCTCGCTTCGTGCTTTCGCTCTCCCTTATCGGTTGAGTACCTTCGGCTCTTCGCTGGAGTTCCAGAACTACAGAAAGAAGACGAGGATATGGAGGAAAGGAAGAGAACGTGAGGAGAAGGTGTCGTGAGAGACCGTCTAACTGTAAATGAGAGAGAAGAAAGGACATAAGAGAGGCCAGAGTTGGGCAAAAGAGAGGCAAAAGAAGAGGGTAAAAGTGTTCAAGTGCAGAGAAAGTACTGCTGTAACAAGTAGGATACTTGCGAAAGGTGAGACCGGTGTAGAGGGAGACAGACGGATAGCAGTGACGGATATTAAAAGTGATCTTGCAGCTACGCTGGACGTGCAGCAGGTGAAGAGGGGAGAGCAGCAGGAGTGTCCAGAGCCTTCGCTGGAAGGCTCTGCAAGTACAGACCTGGCGAGCCACATGCCCATCCAGTTTGTCTGCAAAGTCAAGTTCGCCGAGGGAGATGAGGCCAAGGCGACCCCGTCCAAGCAAGACAGCACAGGCCCACTGGACGAGCGCCTAGGCCGGCCTAGAGGAGGAGGTGTAGCAGACCTGGCTGCCTTTGCTAGCTCCTCATCCCTACATGGCCTGGCTCATGCTTTAGGGACCTCAAGGTCAGGGCGAGTAGGAATGCGGCAGACCTTGTGGGCCCTGGCCCTGATGATGTCGCTGGCGCTCTTCTTGTATCAAGCAACCCGGAGTGCCGTCGCCTACCTGGAGCACCCGCACCTGGCTGCCCTGGGTGAGGAGAGCCGGCGTGAGCTCACCTTTCCTGCTGTCACCCTCTGCAACGTCAACCGCTTTCGCTTTTCGGCACTTACGGACGCCGACATCTACCACCTGGCTAACCTCACAGGGCTGCCGCCTAAGAGCCGAGGCGGCCATCGACCGGGCGAGCTGCAGTACCCACCTCCCGACATGCTGGACATCTTCCAACGCACGGGCCACCAACTGGAGGACATGCTGAAGAGCTGCAACTTCAGTGGGCAGAATTGTTCTGTTCATGACTTCAGCGTGGTGAGTACCGCACAGCCCGATTGTCTATGGGGGTTTGGTGTTTCTCGCTGTTGTTGGTGTAGGTGGACAGGTGCTATTGTTAGTAGGTTCTAAGACCTCTTGATCTACAGTTGGCAGAGATACTTATGGTGCGTTCAGACGGTCTTAAAGTTGGAAAATTGTCATGTCAACAAAATGTAATTTCCAGTTTTTGTGTTCTGGTGGCCATCAGCAATGGGTAAATATATAACAGTAAATATATCCCTTTCAGACTATATATATCCACAATAATATACAAACATCAGCTTTGTCTACTGTGTTTATGTGGTATCAGAAAATGTGCCTCATAAATGTAGGTAAACACTATTTACCACTGTTTACTACTATTTACAACACTGTGCAAAAGTCAGAGACCTTCATTTCGCTTCACTTCCCAAAATGGTAACTTTACAGGAGAAGGGAAAAACCTACTTTACTTGTAATGTAAGTCAATGGAACCAGATGTCTTTCCAAGTCATTTTGGGCCGTTTCTTTTGGTCAATTTATCATGAAATTTACATAGAATTTAAAGAGTAATAGGTATTTTGAAATTATGTCAAAAACAGAAAAACTCAAAAATGGAGATACAAAGTTTTCTTCCAACAACAGCGATTTATTTAATTTCCATTAAGTATAAGTTATTGACTTTCTAAGGAGATTAGATAACCAAAGAAAAAAAAGCCTGTATAATTAACCTCTACTACCTGGATTGCAAAAACAGAAAACACAACCAATGTCTAAGACTGAACTTTGGAAGTGTGGAAAAGTATCCCTGCAGATTTCTTTAAAACACCTAAAGCAAGTTTCCCAAAAAGAATGGAAGTTGTAATAAAGGCAAAGGCTCAACACACTTAATACTGAAAATGATATATTTGGTCGTTGAAGCTTCCGTGTAATTTTCTGTTAAATATGTTTTCTGCCTTTTTTCCTAATGCTGATTGCACTTAATGGCTGTTTTGACTAGAAATGAAATAAACGAAAGTGACCTCTGACTTTTGCACAGTACTGTGTAGCTTTATAAGCTGTTCATCTGCAACTTCTTTGTGGTAAACTTAAGAAATTCACAGGTTTACAGACTGTTCAAATGCACCTTTACACTCTGTGCTCACGTCAGGGGAGTTTCCTGCTTGATTCCGCAAAACACTGAACAAGCAGCCTGACAAAATTATGCATTGAGTTGGTGAGAAGCTTTTCCCCCAGTGCCTCTGAGTCCCATTCCAGTTTCATCTTCTCTTTTTGTACGGTAGCTGGAACCTTGACACTGACATGAACCTACATGCCAAATGTAGAAGCGCAAGCTGAGAGAATACAGAAGCCATTAGGCACCTGTGTATTTTTGCTGTCTCACTTCTGTGGCTTGAACTCTCTTGGCAGCGCTCTATTTTTCTTTTCTCTCCATCCTCTTTCTTATTCTGTTATATCACAGTCTGTCTCTCGTGACGCCGAATGTTATTTTGGCCACAGAACTGATGAAATATGCAGGAGATGGACAGGGGACACGATTCCTGCATTAACTGAATCAACTAGGAGGAGAAACGCACCTCAAACTGTCTTCAAGTTCCGTGCACAGCCTGTGAAAGTGAAGCGTGTGGTACTATGCTATGTAACACATCTGGTGCAAATTCCTGCAAAAACCTTGCATTAGATTAGAGAGGGTTACCTTTTTATAGGGGTGGGTGATATGGAAAAAACACACTGTCACAATACTTGAAGACATTTTATTTTGTTTTTGGGCTCTCTTTGTAATGAAATATGTAGTGCTTTAGTGTTCTTTAAGTACTGATGATATCCACAATATGCATATTGTGACATACTCTGAAGTAATTTATCATGATAACGATACACATTGTCATTTTACCACCCCTACCTTTTTGCGATCTCTGAGCAGCTCACTGTGGTTTCTAAGCAGGCTTTCAGACTCCTTGTAGATGGAAAGAGTGTGGTGTGCTTTGCTCTTGTTGTTAGGATTTTAAGCTAGAAGCATCACCAGGATAACAAAGTCTGAGCTTAGAGGGACATTTTAGGTAACACAGTACTTGAACTTTGCTACTAGTAGTGGGCAATTTACTGGTTCATCTTGTATACCTGTCGAAATTCTTCCTCCAGTATGAGTTTTGTCATAACCGCTATGCCGGTATGCCACAAATATGTTCAGATATTGTGACGTACAAACAGTGCAAACCCATGCTAACGTCAGCCTCTTTAGCTGAGTGGCTAAGTCAGAGATGTTTCAGGCATGTTTCAAATGAAAATAAAAAAGCAAAAAACGCAGCCGTCTCTCAATCACCTCAGGGCTGTCCAGTCTGTTTCACCTAAGGTATCGTTTTTGAGGCAGCGGGCAGAAAGGAACAACTGGCTTTTTGGGGTTAGCCTTAGCCTAATGTAGACGCCAGACCGATTGCCACTATTCCTCTCGTACCTCTGCATCAGACGACGCTGTGGTCTCGGGGCCTTGTGTGCAAAACAAACTGTGGATCAGCTGGTACTGATAGTATAAATGCATGCACACACATGTTCTGAATCGCTTATCCTCCTGGGTCTCTGTCCATAGACATATACATTCACACCTTGGGGCCAATTTAGCATGTCCAGTCAGCCTGACTGCATGTCTTTGGACTGTGGGAGGAAACCCACGCAGACACGGGGAGAACATACAAACTCCACACAGAAAGGACCCTTGTCACCTGATCAGGGAACCGAACCCAGGCCCTTCTTGCTGTGAGGCAACAGCGCTACCCACTGCGCCACTGTGCATATTTTCCAATTTCCAATAGTGACTGACAGTTAGAGGCAGAAGTATATGGGATGACACAAATAAATATGAGACAAATAAATAAGGTGCTTTTTTATTGAAAATTCTTATTCCACCTTAAATGGTGCAGTAGTTACATTCAGGAGCCTGTACAAATGTTAGAAAGCAACAATGACATAAGTTTATCTACACTGTTCGGATTTATTTTTAATATTTTGCACAATAGAAATGTTTCAGATTTAATTTGCTTGTTTATTTCGTACTGAAAAGTGAAAAAAGTGAAGGGACATTAAAAGAATAATTTGTCACCGTTGACCTACAAAAATAGATTTAAGTTAAGCATCTAAAATGGTTTTTATTTTGTAAATATATAGTGCGATGTATGTTGCAACCACCAGAAACTGTCAGAAATCTGCATCTGCTACATAACATTGGCATAACTATGCTATAAACATGCTGTAATGAGTCATCATGACAGATTATGTTCAGTCATATAATAGTACCATGTGATAATTACAGATAACTGTCATGACAGACGCCTTGATGTGTATTGTTATTTAGCAGGGTTCAAGTAAAGTGTTACCAAGTGTTACTACACTACTGGTTCGAAGTTAAAAATTCAACATAGCTCCAGTTCAGCCTTTTCTATCCTAACGCTGCAGTTCTTGGTAAATTGACCTTATCGAAATGACATGCATGGCTCCTTCATAAGTGAATGACACCTCAGTGAAGCTGAACGTAATGGATTATTAAATTCCACAATTTGTAGCAACAACTCCAGCTATAATGTTTTCATGAAAATACTATATGTATGGTGCCTCATGCTTATTTGAGTGAATGGTTTGGCCTTGATGCCTTACAGCCTTGTCTAGCATCTGTTATATTTTTTATACTGTTCATCCTCTCAGGATTATGCTGGTATGAGATTTTGTCATTCATTGTTTGGATCTGTTTGGATGTAATGTTCAATTCAGAGACACTCCATGAAATCTTGTCTGTGACATATTCTCTCTGTATTGTCTTATTATTCCTAAATCCCCAGCAAGACACCTGTCAGGATTAGATTTACTTGAACATGATCGGAATGGAAAGGCATTCGGTGGTTGGGTTAAGGACAGCTCTTCTCTCCGGCGCACTCTCTCGGGCTCCTAAAATATAAATCCATGTTTATCCAGATACATTTGTTAGCTTTCCATGCATTGTCTATGGATTACTTTTTAAAACTTAATTAAGGTATGGCAGGCCCATGGGCTATCAGGGGCAGCAGTTTATGTTGTAGCACTCTAGGAACAACACAAGCTAAAGTGGCTTGCTCAAGGGCACAACAGCAGTGGGCAGAGAGGGAACGACACAGCAGGGACATCAGTCTTGCCCACAGCCAGATACCTTCTGGTTTCAGGTGGAGTGCTAGCCCTGCAGAGCCATGCTGATCTGGTGAATATGTTGGAGCTGATTCCAGACATTTTAAAAGCTTTCACATTTCTTGTGTACCCTCACCGGCCAGTTTATGAGAAACACCTTACTGGTGTACAGTTAGAGACTGTAGCCCATCTGTTAATGAACGCTTTGTGTTCCATCCTCCGGCCCTTCATCAGTGGTCAGTTTCCGAGCACAGAATGTCCCTAGACTGATTATTTTTGGGTGGTGGACCACGCTGAGCCTAGCAGTGACACTGACATGTGTACAAACCCCACAGCAACACAGCTGTGCCTGATAAACTCATACTAGCTCCACACATGCCACTACCATCCCACAGGAAAGAACAATCAAAACAGAGATGTCCTTAGGCTCTTTCTGCCTGACCCATAGTGGCCATTCCACCAGTGTAATGGAAATTGACTTGCATTTTTAATTAATAAAATCAAGTGAAAATATTCCCCCCACAACTCTGTTATTAGATTAACGAGGACACTGTGGGCTCTCTGTGAGCAAAATGTTGTGACTCTGTGTTGAGCTGTTAGCGAGCAATGATGAGCGAAAGGGGAGGGGTGAGAACCTCCTGCTGTGAAAACAACTGACACATCTTCACGAAGATGACCACGCCAAGACAACATAAGCACAACTGGAGCCTTGTTGATAATAAAAAGATTATATTGTTGTTGCTACCATTTAAAATAGTATTTAGCATTTTCAAATGTTGACTTGCTCGCTCACTTCACTCACCGACAATGATGGAAATCCAGTTCACAAAATCCAGCTTATTACAGAAAAATGTAGTTCAACTGAGAGA